GTGATCCGGGTTTCTTGATTCCTTAGTGGAGTGAGGCTTGATTTGTGCTTCATTTTAAAGATAAGTCTTGGTAACTTTATTTCTTGTAACTACTGGAACATTCTTGTAATTTTTGGTGCCAAATTTTGGGGTTTTATAGTACAATCGAGTTTTATCCATTTTAATGGATGCTCAATAGGGGTTAGAAGTGATCGCCAAACCTTTGGAGCTTCGGCCGAAAAAAATCCTTATGTTCATTTTTATTTCCTGCACTTTATTTTCAGTTTATGATTGTGTTTTTTAGAATCTTGGTTAATATTGGTATCACTCGACTTTTCAATTAGACAGTTAGACTATTAGTCGGCCAACCGTAGATTCTTTTCTTCTTTTGTAAAATACCGTTTTGTGTCTGATAATAATTGAAATGGAGTAACTAGAAAATTGTCCATTAGACATTACTATTTCTAGGTAAATTTAAGTCCTTTATTCTAGCACCGTCATTGCTTGATCAATGAATGTTCCCTATAATAAAAAGTTGTCAATTGTTAAAGTACCTTTTTTGTTAGATTGTGGAGGCAACTAAGAATGCTAAGATAATTGAACTTGTTTTCTAACAATCTTATGCTCAAATGTGAATTTTTGGTAATTAATTAAGTGATAAAATGAAGGTTAACTGATACTGGTATCACAATTTCCTTATATTTCGTAGGCAAATTGTTGTCAAACGACGTGATCTCGATTTATTTTTTCAGTCAACATTGACCAAATGACTGAACGTTATACCAATGCCTCAAATGAAATGATCCAACCCCAAAATTATTTTGGGCCATTAGAAGCAGCCTAATTTAAATTAGTTCCACTCATGGCCCATCTCACTTACCTGGACGGCTAAATAAAGCGTAACGCATTTAGCAGTCCATTTAACTATGTGTTAGGTCTCCTTTTGACCCATTACCATACCCTATCTCTACTTACCTTAATTGTCACATTGCTTTGGTTATATTTCCCTTGTCGCGGTCTCTCTTTGTGTGAGAAAAACTAGCCGCCTCTTTTGTGATCTCTCTACCTAGATTCTGTTCACTCATTTTGCTATCTCTGTGGTTATTCTCATTGTGATTTCATTCCCCTTTGTGGTTCTCTAAGTGGGTAACTATAGCAACCGTAAGTGGGAGAGGCTGTGAAGGGAGTTTATGGTTGTTTTGCTTATGGTGTTGACTGGGAAAAAAACTAAGCCCAGTTCAAGCCTTGGTGGTCATCATCTTCCGCTCAACAATATTTATCACATATACATAATCGAACCTTTTAGTGCTACTTGTAATATGTATGGTTATATGTTGATATGTGGAGGAAATCCCCCCGATGGTTGCTGAACTTTGCAAAAATCTCCTAGAAGGTCACCAAATTTCAATACGTCTTTAAATAGTCACTGAACTTTGCCGAAGTCCCCTAGGAGGTTACTGAACTTCAAAACGTCTCTAAATGATCGCTGAACTTTAACGAAGTCCTCCAGAGAGGTCACTCAATGTTGCAAATTGGGACCCCATACATTACTAGTTTAGTGACCTCCTAGGGATTTTTTGCGAAGTTTAGTGCCCATTCAGAGACGTTTTGAAGTTCGGTAACCACTTGTGGGGGACTTCGGAAAAGTTTAGTGACTATTTAAGGATGTATTGAAGTTCGGTGACCACCTAGGGGATTTTTTGCAAGATTCAGTGACCATTGGGGGGATTTCCTCCTAATATGTGCATACTAGATGAGGCTTCGTTAGTGATAAATAATGTGCACATTTTATTACCTTATATATCATTTCTTCCCTTTTTATTACGAAGAATGTATATATCATATGTGCATTTTAAAATTCTTACATATACTATGGCTACGCTCTTTGTACAGTAGCGTAGATACATGTTTGTGAAGATGTATACAAAATAATATTCACAGGAGGGTGCTACATGTACACTAAGCTTTACAGCTCAGTGTACAGCCCCCTCACAGGGGATGGGGCTCGTGCATTAATTGGGCATGGGCCCCTTCCCTCATGTGAGGGGTGTACATAAAAAACCTAGAGAAACAATAAAAACAAAAAATGCGTGAAGTAGAAATTTTAAATTGACAAAGATGATCCAAACTAAGGGCATTTATTTGTGTTCTGTAGTATCATCATGTGGACCTCCTATGCCTGTCAGTCTCAAGACATTTGTAGAAAGTTATTATGTATTGCTACCATGATGAATATTTTGAATATTTGAGCAAATATTTTTCATTTGGACTACAAGAGAGATCATTTTCAGATAATTAGTCAAGATATCCTCAAAGACATAATTGTTTATTTACAAAAGGTATATGGTTTGTTGCTCTTATGCACACAATGTGGCACCAAAAGGAAAATATATTTCCTTTGTTTCAGTAGAAACAGAGACAAACAACCCCAAAGTTGAACTAAAGCCTAGAGTAGACCTCATTGGACCAGTTGACGAGATTTTTTTACGAGACTTATGACAGATTTGTACCCTCTAATAATAGTGATGGTGGCAATTGTTTCATTTTCAGGGTAAGTATACATGCTTCTGTCTATATTAACATATGAATCTTTGCAAGTGAGAATTGGATGTTGTTCATTTGTGCTACTCTTATAGGATAAATATAGTAATTGTTGGACTCTGTAGAGTCTAATTATATTTTTTTACTTATCTCTTGAATTGCTTATATACATTTAATCATAGGGATACATTGACTATGTGAAGCCTAATTATATTATTCACTTATCTCTTGAACTGTGGATCGACTTTATGACAGGGTTATATTGGGAATTCATATCTATGTATTAGGCAGCACTAGCATATTCTGAGATAAGACAAATGGATGTGGAGAAGAAAAACTTGTAATATCCATCTTCATTATACCTTTGACATTGTTTTGCACCAATCACTTTATGCTTTTTATCATTTGTTGCAGAGTTATGATGCAATGATACACTTCTAGTCCACTATAACATATATTCTAGCCATACACACCAAGATAACTGGAAAGGTGATGTAGGAATTGAAAGAAACCAAAATTTTATCAAATCCTTTTACAAAATCACATAAATACTCCATGTTGAAATCAAAGAGAACATTAAAAAAGTGGAAACGTACCTTGATCCATAGTTATTAGTATTCTGAATGGGTTAAGATCCTCCAATTGTTACATAATTTCTTGGAGTTTTCTTCTCTGTTGATAGGGATGCAGAGAGATATGAAAAATCACATATAATTGGGGACCATGACCCTATGATAAATAACTACATTACGCAATTATTAATTTTGTTTTATTTCAAATTGGCCCCTCATTAATTTAAAATAACATCGTCCGATCTCTATTCTCTATTCCCATGACATTTAATACACGTTAGTCCAATAATTGACTTTAACGGATCACTTTATTGAATAAGTCTTAAAATAGCACCACATATTTTAATATATATATATATATAATGACACACACACACACACATGTGTGGTCTCATACGTTGGAAATTTTTTCAATAATCTCTTACTGGACCATACATGTAATATTACAAATGTGCTCAGATTTATGAGCTCAAAAATTTGTTATCATTATTAAGGGTATTTCCAAACAATTTTGTCCATCGTTTATATTAATGTAGGATTAAAGCGATTTTCATCTCATTTAGTATAATTAAATCCATCAATGATCACATACACCCATACAACCAAATGACATAGATCAATCATGGGAGTCTAGCATGGAAACTACATATTATGTGACCAAAACATGTCTATTTCCAACTAGTCCAACCTTATTTCTTAAGTGAGATCAATACAGAACATAATAATAGATTGGAATGAACTGAATACTTCATTCTATATAGAAAAATATCAAAATACACAAATATGTCCATAAAAACTAAACATAAATGAGAATACAAACTCCCACTAAAACATGTTATCCTCAAGAAATACAATATAACTTTACCGGTCTTTCTATGCCATTCAGAATACAAAGCCCAGTGATAAAATTTCGCAACCATATTCTATGGTTAGATGCCTCATAGCACACTACAAACTCTACTACCATGGTAGAAAAAGTTATGAGTGTCTGCTTGGCACTCTTCCAGGAAATAGCTCCTCCAGCTAGTTGATAGATATAGCCAGGGTGGATCTCCTACTACCTTGGCATACAGCAAAATCAGAATTCGGGTACCCTGTGATCTTTAACTTATTCGATTTGCTATATGTGAACATGTAATCTTTTGTTCTCTTTAAATACCTCATAACCCTTTTGGTTGTCTTCCAATGATCTGTCCTAGGGTTGTTTAAATATCTGTCTAACATTTCAAAAATGAATGTTATGTCTGGACGTGTACAAACTTAAGCATACATTAGACTCCTAATAGCTGATGCATAGGAAATCTTTTGCATTTTCTTAACTTCAAGGTCATTTTGCGGGCATTGTTTGAGACTAAATTTTTCTCCCTTAGCGACAAAGGCATCACCTAGTTTACAGTCTTGCATGCCAAACCTTTCAAGTACTTTATCTATATAGCTCTTTCGTGACAATCTAAGAATACCTCGAGAGTAATCCCGATGTATCTGAATCCCTAATACACACAATCATCAACGGCATTCATCTCAAAACCGAATGAGATAATTACTTGATGAAATTCGTGGTACCATTGACGGGAAGCTTGCTTGAGTTTATAGATGGAGTTCTTTAATTTGAAAATCATATTCTTCGAGTCTCCTGATACAAAGTTTTCTGGTTGCACCATATAGATCGTCTCAGCAATGTCGCTATTGAGAAACTCCATCTTAACGTCCATTTGATGTAATTCAAGGTCAAAGTGCGCAACAAGTGTCATAATTGTCCTAAAATAGTCTTTCGTTGAAACTGGAGAGAAATTCTTTTTGAAGTTGATGCCTTCGTTTTCGATAAAGCCTTTAGCCACAAGACGAGCCTTATATCTTTCCTCACTATCTTTCTAGTCTCCATTGGTTTTAAAAATCCATTTGCAACCAATGGACTTCACACATTCAGGTAACGAGATAAGATCCCAAACTTTATTGTCTTCCATAAGACTTTTACTCCTCATTCATGGTATCAATCCACTTTTGGGAGTTGGAACCCTACATGGCCTGATGGAAATTGATTGGATTATCTTTCACCATTCCATTATTTTTCTCATGTTCATGGAGAAATACTCTAAAATCATTCGAAATAGCACTTTTCCTTTCTCACGTGGATCTCCTTAATGGTATTAGTTTTTGAGGTTGTTGAGTTTGTACTTTTGAAATAATTACCTCATTTTGGATGGGAGGTTCTTCAACATTGTTTTTTGGGGGTTCTGGATATACTTCTTAATCAATGATAGGTATAGAAACATGTAAATTGTCAAAAATAATAGTACGAATTGAAACCAATTATTCCTCAACTTCTTCCTCAAAGACAATGTCTCTGACTTTATTTTTCCTCCCAAACTCAACATCCTCAAAAGTATTGTAGTCCCGTTTCAAAAATTGACTTAAGTGTGGGATCATAAAATTTATAGCCCCTAGATCACTCAAAATAACCAATAAAATAGCTATAAACTATTTTGGAGTCTAATTTTTTTTTATGTGACCTATAATGTCTAGCCTTTGTTGGACATCACCAAATATGAAAATGCTTTAGATTAGGCTTTCCGCTTGTCAAAAGCTCATAAAGTATTTTAACAGCAACCTTAGTTGGCACTCTGTTCAGAAAATGAGTTGCGATCTTTAATGCCTCTTCTTAGAGTGATTTTGGTAAGGTGGAATGATTAATCATACTCCTTACCATATCCTTAAGAGTCCTATTTCATCTTTCAGCTATACAATTCATCTAGGCGATCCTGGCATGGTGATTCCACATTCCTCTTCCTTTTTATCCACAAATAGCACTAGACCATGGCTCCGATAAAAATATGAAAGTGTGTATATCTCTATTGACAAAATAACATTGTACTACGGCAATGCTAAAATTATTGAAGTGCGACTCAATAAATTGAATTTTTAATATGTCATATGTAACATGTTTACCTGTTTATTTACTGAGTCAGGACCAATTAATTTATTAAATTGATTTTTAATATGCGATTGTATATGATATTGACACATCTGTTTGAATATGTGAAATAATCATTAATCCAACAGTTTAAACATTTAAAAGAATTATTTCAATATTTTTGAAGAGTTCTTCATAGAAATAGAAGGTTTAGGAATCCATTTTCATTCTAATATGTATATAATGTGCATGTTATACGAATTCCAAAGGGGAAAAAAAAATAAGAGCCTGCTTGCACGTGATTGATTGACCTGTTGACATTAAATCTAAATAAATAAGTTTATTTGCAATTGAAACAAGAATATTATTTAGGGTATAAAGCTAATTTGGATTTTGGAACAGAAACAATATCTAAGTTAGATAGGAGAATTTAATGGTATTGACCAATTTGCACAATATTTTTCTTGTTTTTAGTCATGTCCATCTGAGCATGCAAAATCTCATTTTGTAGTTTTTCAACTTATTCAGATCCCTTTCTCTAAAGCGTGCTTGAACGCTTATTATTAAGTTCCAAGTAGTGATACTTACTTGAAATCACAAAATCGAGGTTAAATTACTTGCCTTTGATTCGCTTGCGACCATCTTGTACTCGCCTCTTGGTCAGAAATTCGATCACAATGGAAGGAATTTGATAGCCACAATCCAAGAATCCAATTTGAGATGTTATCTTCCAAAAATCAAGCATTTACCCTCATTTCTTTTTACCCCTTGAATAAAACCCGAATTCTTGCATGTCTCCTAGGTATTTTTCTAGAGTGAATATATACATAGAAGTTATAGATTGAGGGAGTTAATTTTTTTTTTTTTTTTGGAATTCAATTTTCAACTCCTCCCTCCATATTTCATTTCCATGCAAATCGGGTTGGGTCAACCCACATGGGCGACCCCATTTTCTTCCAACATCTCCCATTCGCACATGATGGGCTTGACCTGATTCTAATATAATATCAATTATATTAATCTCAATATTTCCAAGTTCATATAAGTAAATGAATCGTGCGACCAGCGAGTTAATTTAAAAGCACACAACACTATACACTTGTTAGGGATATATAGCAGTTCTAGAAGAGGAATTATATTTCACGCGATACCCCGGACATATTTTGTAACACCAGTTCGAGTATTTCTGACCCCTCAATTCATAGAATATACTCAACTTTCTCATTTATAATGTATTCACAATTGTGTCACAAAACTCAAATAATTAACACAATTGTCCGGTCGGTGAATAAAAGTTGAAGTGTTAGTTAAATAGTCTTCCTTTCCTACTTGAATCACTTAATTTCAAGTCAGTTGCTTTCCTAGACATTCCCATCAAACCAAATCAATCATGGTTATTGACAACATGTTAAAGTAGTAACACTGAAATAAAATTTTGAAAAATAGTCAAAAGTCATAAGGGTATATATAAGTGAGGTCAAATTTGCTTTTCAGAGACTCACAAAATGAAGAATCAGGGATCAATTCTTTCATTTCTCATTGGTCGTTAAAGCACATGTGGTATGTCTATTCTTGCAAATTAAATACATCGTACAAATCATAATTCAGATATTCCTTGATATCTGACTTGAGTTCTCCTTATATTCATTCCTCCAAACATTCTCAAATCGAGAACTCGATTAGCTACTAAACGGGTTTAATGGATAGAAAAATCTATTTTGATTACTTGTTGTAATCTCATCTTGATACCTTAACAAGGCAACTGGATCATGTACACAACATGATCACTATCAAGGCCACATGATCCACAACATGATCATTTTGTTTCATCTGAGCACATCTCAAAATGTCTGAGGCAATTGCTCGTGTGAGTGAGTCAATCTCAACCCATTCGACATACTTTATATGTGCATATAAATAATTTATCTCATGATCCCAACATTAGATTACACATGAACTCAAAATTGTTCATCTATAGGCACATAAAACTTAATCAAGAGTATGTCTGATACATCAAGTATCATATTCTATGAAATTCTAGAGATTCTATATTATCAACAAATATATCTCTAGACATCTTCAGAGTATGATGATTACATATCATCATTTACGTAGATATATCACAAAGACACTTTCTTTGCTAATGTCTCTCCCAGAATTACCATTAATTATTTGATTCCATCTTGATACTTGAAATCTTAACATATAAAATAGTTGCGTAACTATCATGGATCTCATATTCTCAACCAGTATCATTAGATGCTCAATACATTCACACCAAACAATTTATTTAGCTGCCAAGACATACATTACAACATATGCTTCTTGCTACTCTATATAGCAAAAGCGACAAGTCAAATAACTAATTATGCTCGACTAACTCTCATTCTTAGTCAACAATTGTATATCTATTCCAATCACAAGTTATTCGTTTGACAACGAAATAGAATAACAATAGCAAACCCTTCAGGTATCATAATACATTTTCAAAAAGATAATGTTGATATCCACTGACTAGATTGATGGCATGACCTATGTTAGGGCAAGTAAACATTATATTATACTTCTATCTCCTAACTATTAATCGTACTAGACATGATTCTCTGGATATTTTTTTGTGCACTTATGAAATCTTTAGACATTTATGAAGACTTATATGGTCACAGTTGCAATTTCACATGAGCATTTATAATATAAAACTCTTATGATAGAGCAAGAACATACGAAAAGTATTCTTAGCACAAATCATACAATTTGCTAAACCCATGTCTTTTCTCTCAAAAATTGAGGACAACCATTTCAAAATGGTCTCTATACACTCCTTATCATGCTTAGCCAATCCAATTCATCAATATCAAAGTTAGAATTACAACCTATCATCAGACATTTTCACAAATACAGTAATTTTCGACCATATGACAAAATTTTTGTACGAGATTTAACCCTATTAAAAACTCAAGTACGACTGTCAAGCTGATTGTATTAGACCATGCATGTAACTATAAAGTTACCACAATAAAAAAAGCCTTTAACATGAAATTTAAAAGTCGATTCATGTTGATATCATTAATCATTTCTCAATTGAGAATAAAAATACAGTCTCTGGATCGATTTGGTGTAACTCTAAATTTAAACATACCATCACGGCTAGCATTGATGTACAGAAGCGAATCCCGTCGTTATGAAAAATTTTATCCAACTCATTACACTCACATTGAGTATAACCTTTTTCAAAAATGAGCTTTATCTATCAGAAACTCATTAGTCTTCCTTAAATTTCAAGAGTCTGAATGTTCTCGGTAAATATAATGTCTGAATAAAACTTTCACCATATCTCAAATTAGGTCGAAATTCTATACTCCTTATATATTCTTCCATTACTTTTCTCAAAATTCATCTTCTGATTTTTTGAACCAAGAATTATTGGCATTAAATAGCTCTTAGATCCAACTCAGAACCAAGAATCATTAAATTAGATAGTTCTTGGATGGCTCCCACTCGGATAGATAGCTCCCACTCAGAACCAAAAATCAATGATATTAAATTGTTCTTAGGTCCCACTCAAAACCAAGTATCATTGAAATTAGATAGTTATTATATAGCTCCCACTCGGATAGATAGGTCCAACTCGGAAACAAATTATTCCACTTGAATAAGAAGTTTGGATAACCTCTTATATATTCAAAATCAATTCATCAATACATATATTATTAATTTCAATGATGTTCTCATATCTTTTCTCTATTACTGGAAAATGTGTCAAATGTCACATCTTATGACTCGATATCTATCCAAAATTTCACTTAAGTGCCTTTTTAGATTACATGTATGTCATCGAGACCCATCTAGTTCTCAATAGACTCATGTTCACACACTCGTTATCGAGAACATATATAATCCATTAAGAGTCTATGATAACCCATATTCGGTTATTTATGTGTCCAAAACTTATATATTTTGAAGGTACCAACATTGAGAGAACTCCATTAATTGATATGTTGTAGTTAGCGAACGCTCTCTCCAAAAGCAAATACGCAAGTTGTATTGCATATCTTAAACCTCATCAGTAATCATATTCAGCAGTATTTCATTCTTTCAATCCAATATACGATATAATTATTAGACATTAAAGAATAGTCAATCCAATAAGAGTTCCTCTCATTATATAGATCATTGATATCTCGTGATAGAGATTCACACTGTCAAACAGTTCTTAAAATCTTCACTTCCATAATCTGATTTTCTACTTGACTTCATAAAAGTGTAAATCAATACAATATCTTCAACTTAAGAAAATCGATCTCACAATTGAAGTGCGTAAATCCATCTATAAATGTAATGAAAAGTAAAGTTTCATCTCTATCTGTCTTGATCACGGCCCACAAAGAAATTCGGATTGATTTATTCTATAGAAGTTCGACTCTTACAGCTTTGAATGATTTTCTCAACTCAAAACCTCAAACCATTGCACAAATATCCAGAACCATAATAAACATCACCACTGTGAGTACCAACAGAACTACCACATACAAATTCAAATAAGAGACCTCTCTTGGAAGAACAATAATTGAGATCAAATTTAGTGAAGTCTTTGATACTATCTCAATATCAAGTAGGAGGTCAGTTTATCCACTTTACAACACTAAGTTGCAATACCAGTCATATAAACCTCCACTCCATCTTCACTATTTGTACATATCTATTTCGTATCAAGTCAAATACTCAACAATAGACTAATATACTTCTTGATCTCATATGAAGTGGGTTTCTAACCCTTGAATCCATTATCTACACAAGATAAGATCCAATTTGTATAGTGTTGGTATGCAAACAACACTAAGAGGAATATATTCAAATGCAATATCCTTTAACTTAACCACTTTCGAGCTAAGAGATTCAAACCATATAGTTGAAGCACTTGAACCTTTATAACGTTGATCTTCTACCAAAACCACTTTCATTCACTTATTATCTGAAGTTCTTCTTGGTCCCTTTACCAGTCTCCCACATCCATCCCGCATTAGTTTTAGCTCATCCAATGCTTAAGATTCAAAGTCTTAAACAAGCTAGAACATTACTACACAAGCATGTCTTCGAGACTTAGCAATATTAAGTCACACATCTTTTAATTCACATAGCGGGTAGTGTCAATAAAAAAATTGACACTTCTATTTGTAAGTTACAATGACTTTCAAAACTCCATATATTAAAAAGAGACTAGTTTGAACTTGCTACTCATCTAAAATTAATGTGATCAAAGAAAATGTTAACATTGTGCTAACCATCAACTAAGTCACATTTGAGAAAAAGATTATTTATAACAGAACTTAACAATTTTAAATGCTTGAGTACTAAAATCCACATTTTTTTCGTACTCGACAAAGTTCTAATCTTTATTCTCTAGAGTAGTATGACCTACATAAGATCTTCTATTACGTGATTGATGTTCTCTAAAACATCATGTCCTTCTAGTACATTTAAAATCTAATCATGCCAAATGTTATCGCATTTAGTTTATCACCTTTATTAAGATAACTTCTATAGATTTTGATGCCATGATCTATCAGATTTTTAGAGGCATGTTATTCTTAATCAATGCCCATTTATGCACATATTTAATTTTGCATTAACGCAAATTAACATCTACGATAGTTCAATGTTAGGCACAGAGTAGAAAGTTCACTATATTTCCAATCATCGTTCGCAATCCTATTATTTCATTATCATAAACTTAATTTAACAATTCAAAATTCCATAGGTTCTAAGTGAGAACTGCATTAATTCTTCCAACTTCAGAACCCCACTCAGTTGGTGAATCAAATAGTTCTTGGTGAGATTTTCTCTAAATCTTCCAATCATCGAACTATCACTCAACTGACAATCAATAGGTCTAAGTAAAAATCTCACTAATTCTATGGACCTTAGCATTTATAACAATACACGAGTTAATGGATATCATGCATTTCCATAAATATGCACATTTATCTAATAACGTAATTTCATAATGTTCAATTATGACATATCATGATTATCAATCAAGTTTTAATATTAGTTGCAACACAATCCCAACAAATGGGAAGTGACATAAGAATTTTCATATTCTGCTTATATCCAAAAATGTCCCCAAAAATATTTACGTATTCCACTATGTTATGTTTCAAATCCTTGTATTTTTTTATTATAATAAGCACATGGCTTTTTAACAAGTTCTATAACCCTTGTTTCTCTAGCATTCCCTCTAAGGATGCTATAAATGTGTATAGATGCAATAATATATATACAAAATTCGAAACAAGTCACAATGGATCACATAATCTAATCAAGACTCATACAACTCATGAACATATATAAAATGTGGTATTTTAAATACATTCGGAGTATTTTTCATTTAAAAAAAAGAAACACTTAAAAAAAACTCCCATTGGGCAAATACCACTTAACAAATATTCTTGACCTTTATAAAAATTTTCAGAATTTAATTGAGTCCAAATTTTTTTTTTTTTATCATCTGAAATTTAATTTTAATTGAACACAAAAATCAATAATATTTGAAGGACCAATTTTGTAATTTCCAGAATTGAAGTAAGGTCTCGCATACATCCTCATATGTATAACCAATTTATAATCTTTTAAATTGAATATCGAATAATCAATTTTCGAAAGAAAATAATTTTGGGACCAATATACAACTTTTCAAATTGGTATTGGAATAAACAGCATCAAAAATAGTTTTGGGACCAACATGCAAATACTCAAATTACATTTGAAAACATTCAAAAGTGTGGTGACTAACATGCAATTTCTCAAATTGCATTTGGAATAATCAACATTCAAAAGAGTTGGGGACCAACATGCAATTTTTTTGAACTTCATTTGAAAACATTCAAAAGTGTGGGGACTACCATGCAATTTTTCCAATTGCATTTGGAAATATTTAAAAGTATGGGGACTAACATGAAATTTCTCAAATTGCATCTAAAATAATTGAGGGACCAACATGCAATTTTCAAAATATGAATCCCACTCCATAGCAATAGTTCCAATTTTTTTTTCCCGTTTACTGTTCATCGTCCCCAAAAAGACAGTTTTTTCAGAATTCTGCTAAAACTTTGGAAGGTCATAACTTTTTCAATTTAAGGCCAAAATTTATATTCTTTCTATCGTTGGAAAAGTATCGAGAAGATCTACCCAATCATATAAAATGAGCAGTGTGAAACTTAACGTGCAAGAAATTATCATGCGATCAAATTTTGATTTTCTCAACTAGGGTTCAATTTTCCTCCCAAAATACAAAGCCAAATAACATGAAAATATTCAGATATGTTCTCCATAATATCATAAACATACAGCATAAATTTCATGAATTAACATAAAGTAAATAAAAAGTTGCCATTAATGACATTCAAGCTTTGAAAGAAAAACCAAAATTAATGCATTTCAATCATTCTATGACATTTTTAGCATGTGTTTAAGCAAGAAAACAACTTACTTAGGCTCTAATACCAATGTAAAACGTGCTTGCATGCTTATAACTGACTTCCAAGTAGTGATACTTACTTGAAATCACAAAATTGAGGTTGAATTACTTGCCTTTGATTCGCTTGCTTTCCACACCATCTTGTACCCGCCTCTTGGTCAGAAATTCGATCGCAATGGAAGGAATTTGATAGCCACAATCTAAGAACCCAATTTGAGATGTTATCTTCCAAAAATCAAGCCTTCACCCTCATTTCTTTTTACTCCTTGAATAAAACCCGAATTCTTGCATGTTTCCTGGGTATTTTTTTAGAGTGGATGGATACATGGAAGTTATAGATTGGGGGAGTTAATTTTTTTTTTTTGAATTCAATTTTCAACTCCTCCCTCCATATTTCATTTCCATGCAAATCGGGTCGGGTCAACCCACATGGGCGACCCATTTTCTTCCAACACTTTCAATTAACGATACATCCGAGCTTACAAAAATTGATTATATATAAAATACGAATTATAAGTCATTTATAACTTGATTAGGTGTTCACAATTTTTGGTAAACAATGACAGTTCAATAGAGAGTGTGAAATACAGATTTTATACTTTTTAGTCTCTTATTAGGTCGTCAAAGTGATATTTGTGTTTGGCATGTTATCATGTTATTCCATGAGGTGGAACATATTGAACATAAACAAGGTGAGAACCTTATCGAAAAATATACCACTTAAAAGATTGGATTTCTTATACGTATGTACTATAATGTGTCGCTTCTGTTTTTTTTGTTAAAATTCATATTTAAGTTTGGATTTTTAGTTTATTTAAAAGCATTATTTACTCTAATCTTGAAAGAAAATGATCAACTGAAAATAACTAGTTCAATGGATGATAGACAAGGGCACATGGGTAGTAGAGTTGGCAACGGTTCGGCATCAATTTTTATGTCATGCCATAACCGCATCATAACCATGTAAGTTGGTTCGGTTCGATTCGTATTTCGGTTCGGGCGGTTAATAACCACGAAAATAAATTATTTTTTATAGGTCCAACCATCAAATTGGGAAAAAAAAATTTATGAAGAAAAATGTCTATGAAAACAAAAGCATAATACCAAGTCAATTTAGCAAACAATATCCCAATTCTCAAATGTAAAATTCGAATTTAACAAACAATTTTCATATATGTTTAATATTTCTGTAGTAGGGTGTAGGATTATTGGATTAGGTTAGTTGAACTTAGCGGGTTGCTGGGTCGGTAATGGGCTCAGAATCATAGAAAGAATAATGGAAAGCCCAATTACTCAATTAATTTTTTGTTTTAAGGGAAATCTATTTGGGGTGGGGTGATGGAGTAAATATCATACCCATCCTAATCCAAACCAAAGTATTAAAATCAAATATCATATCCACCCCATTGTGCCATCAGTTCTCTTTTTCGCCTCATTTAGTTTGATTAACCGCGACTTTTGATTTTGACGGTTTGAATTGTCATCCCTAACAAGTAGTGTAGTCTAATTCATCTCTAGCCCCTTGTTCGGGCAGAAGGCCAATTGTGAGCAGAAAACCATGTCGAAATTATGTAAGACAATTTAGTGGTCTAGTTTAATGTAGGATTTCTTTTCGTTTTAATATTAAATATTTCTGGCACATCTTGTTTCCTTCGATTAATAATATTTAAGATATTAAGTTGAAATCAAGTTTAATTATTTTTACTGTTACAGAAGTTAAGAATAGTTAAATCAATAGTAGTTAGATAGATAATTCTTGTGGGAATGATAATTCCGATTCTTAAGTCGTATTTAATTGATATCATGCACTAGGAATAAAAATAACTTAGAACCCTTCAACTTAATAATTTTTCCTATATAATTTAGTGCCTTTAGATATCTACATTGTCCATATATGTTATTACACACTTTCCTTTCTATCCACAACAGCACTGTACCATGGCTGTGGTAAAAATATGAAAGTGTGTATATCTCTATTGACAAAATAACGTTGTACTACGGCAATGATAAAATTATTGAAGTGGCTCTCTATTCATAAATGACATTGGACCTTTGGACAACTTAGTTTATAAATTGATTCTTTTATTATATTATATGAAACATGTTTAACTGTTTATTTATTGAGTCGGGACTACATAATTTATTAAATTGATTTTTAATAAGGGATTGAATGTAATATTGACACGTCTGTTTAAAAATACGAAATAATAATTAATTCAACATTTTAAACTTTTAAAAGAATTATTTCAACTTTTTTTAAAGAGTTCTTCAATTTTTGATATAGGAATAGAAGGTTTAGGAATCCATTTTCATTCTAATATGTATATAATTTGCATGTTATACGTGAAGTAATTGATATGAAAAAAAATTTCGATTTCAACGTTTGAAAGTTTTTTGAGATTTTGAGGTTCAAGCAAATAAAAGATAAGAGTTTTTTCTGTGTTGGAAACTCATTTTGAAATTTTATAAGTGGGGAAGTGTTTGGTTTCCAATTATTAACTACAAGGGGATAGTAAAATCCTTTCAACAATACATTGTTTTGTAATTGTATAATACATGTAAGGTCATCTTTGTCTTTTACCATACAAGATGCCAATGTAATAATATTCAATATTTTTAAAGTCAAAGTGAAATTTTGAACCTTTGACTGAGTCAAATTTAAAAGTACCCCTTTCACAATTCCCTATTTTTAGGAAACTTGATATTACCTAGGTATGTATGCTTTGTATTTTAAATTTTAAATTTCCAGTTCTTTTAAGTTTTTATTTTGAGGATCTATTGCAGTTTGTTTTAACATTTTAGATTGCTAAATCCAAAAAAAAAAAAAAAAAAAAAAAAAAAAAAAAAAATAAGAAAGCCTGCTTGCATGTGATTGATTGACCTATTGAAGTTAAATCTAAATAAATAAGTTTATAATTTTTAATTATTTCTTTTTAAAATAAGTTTATTTGCAATTGAAACGAGAACATTATTTGGGGGTACAGAGCTAATTAATTGTGAGCAGAAACCATATCTCACTTAGAATTGAATTCAACGGTAATGACTAATTGCACATTTCTCTTCCTTTTAATCGTGTCCATCTGAGCATGCAAAATCTCATTAGTAGTTTTTCAGCTTAATCACATCCCTTTGAATTATAATTATTTTTGCCACTACAATTTAATGTCCATATATGTAATAACACACTTTACTTTCTATCGACAAATAGCACTGGACCACGGCTCCGATGAAAATATGAAAGTTTTCATTGTAGTGTCACTCTATTCATAAATGACGTTGGACCATTGGAACACTTAGTTTATGAATTGATTTTTTAATATGTCATATGTAACATGTTTACCTGCTTATTTACTGAGTCGGCCCACTTAATTTATTAAATTGATTTTTAATATGCGATTGAATGTAATATTGACATGATAATCATTAATCAAACAGTTTAAACTTTTAAAAAGAATTATTTCAATTTTTTTTAAAGAGTTCTTCAATTTTTGATATAGAAATAGAAGGTTTCGGAATCCATTTTCATTCTAGTATCTATCTAATTTGCATGTTATACGAATTCTATAGAAAAAAATAAAGCCTGCTTGCATGTGATTGATTGACCTGTTGAAGTTAAATCTAAATAAAATTTAAAATTTGTATTTATTTCTTTTTGAAATAAAATTATTTTAAATTGAAACAAGAACATTATTTGGGGTATAAATCTAACTTGGAACCGAAACAATATCTAAGTTAGATAGGAGAATTTAATGGTATTGACTAATATGCACATTTCTCTTCCATTTAATCATGTCCAACTGAACATGCAAAACCTCATTAGTAGTTTTTCAACTTATTCACATCCCTTTCAATTATAATGAATTTTTCCAATATAATTTGGTGCCTCTAGATATGTTCTTACACACTTTCCCTTCTATCCACAAATTGCATTGGACCACAGCTCCGATAAAAATATGAAAGTGAGTGTTTCTCTATTGATAACATAGCATTAGACTACGGCAATGATAAAAATATTGAAGTGTCTCTCTATTCATAAATAACGGTGGACCATTGGACCACTTAATTAGTTTATAAATTGATTTTTTAATATGTCATATATAACATGTTTGCCTGTTTATTTACTCAGCCGAGGCCACTTAATTTTATTAAATTGATTTTTAATATGTGATTGAATATGATATTGACACGTCTGTTTGAATATGTGAAATAATCATTAATCCAACAGTTTAAACTTTTAAAAGAATTATTTCAATTTTTTTGAAGAGTTCTTCAATTTTTGACATAGAAATGAAAGGTTTCGGAATCCATTTTCATTCTAATATCTATCTAATTTGCATGTTATACGAATTCTACAGAAAAAAATAAAGTTTGCTTGCATGTGATTGATGGACATGTTGAAGTTAAATCTTTTGTTTCCCATTTTTTGGTCAAAAAATTAAAAATATGACCGTTATACATCACATTAAGTCACCATATTTGACTTCCTCTCTTTTGCGTGAATCTCATAACAACTATATTTTTTATTCTCATTCTTATAAGAATGGGAATCAAATGGGGGCTAAATAAATAAATCTATAATTTTTAATTATTTCTTTTTAGAATAAGTTTATTTGTAATTGAAACAAGAATATTATTTGGGGTATAAATCTAATTTGGAACAGAAACAATATCTAAGTTAGATAGGAGAATTTAATGGTATTGACTAGTATGCACATTTCAATATCTAAGTTAGATAGGAGAATTTATATGCACATTTCTCTTCCTCTTAATTATGTCCATCTGAGCAAGCAAAATCTCATTTTGTAGTTTTTCAAATTATTCAGATCCCTTTCAATTAACGATACATCTGAGCTTACAAAAATTGATTATATATAAAATACGAATTATAAATTGTCTATAACTTGATTAGGTGTTCACAATTTTTGGTAAACAATGGCAATTCAATAGAGAGTCAAGTGAAATACAGATTTTGTACTTTTTAGTCTCTTATTAGGTCGTTAAAGTGATATTTGTGTTTGACACGTTATATGTTATTCCATGAGGTGTAACATATTGAACATAAACTAGGTGAGAACCTTATCGAAAAATATACCACTTAAAAGATTGCTTTTCTTATACGTGTGTACTATAATGTGTCGTTTCTGTTTATGTTAAAAATTTTCATAATTTAGTTTTTACTCTAATCAATTGAAAGATAACTAATTCAACGGACGATAATGAGACGAGGGCACATAAATAGTATAGTCTAATTCGACTCTAGCTCCATGCAGGTTATGTATAATCCTCAAGTTCGTAATTGTTTTATGAACTTGTTTGCATACCAACCTTATATAGCAGCTCGATTTTGGACTAGAAGTCCAGCTTAGATGCCAAGACGATTTTAAATTGGACTATCAATTTTAATCATGTAATCCCAAAATCAAGAACATAATTTTAACATACTACTTTAACCATGATTTTACAATCAAGAAAATTGAATTAAAATAATGTCAAAATCAACAATTAATTTTAGCATCCCTTTGATGACCATTAATTGGAGAAGATATAGGTTTGAATAGTGTTTTTTAGCCGAATGTGTTGTTATAAGTATGAAAAAGTTTTGACTTTCGCGCAAAAGATTTTATTGTGTAAATATGTGGTTGAAAATGAGTACGTAGAAAAAAGAGTTTGAAAATGATAGTTGTCAAACAAGGGTTTAATCACAAATTTTATAGGACCTACAACTATCTTTCAACTATACATTCCATTAACTTATATCAACATCTATTCAATATCTCCTTTTATCTAAACCAAGTAATTTGAAACACACTCTTCTGATTTGAATCTCTGCAAATGTTAGAACAACATTCTCTCCAGAAACCAACATCATGGCATGCTGGGGCAGTATACATCCTTGTATTCTTCATGTGTTTCGGCCAGTCATGTCAAACAATCACTGCTGATCCAAATGAAGTTAAATCCCATACATGGAAAGAAGCATTTCAATTCCTTGGATTCAATTGGACGTTAACCAGAGAAATCGGAGGGCCATATCTGAACGCTACCCCACATAGGGAGAATCCTGATCAGATTGCCTTGTCCAAGGACGTACAGCTAAACTTGCCTGGCAGCAATTTCAACTCCTTCATACGCCTCTATATTCCTACTGAAATCCCAAGAGAAACCAAGCTTCCGGTTATTATCTACATACACGGAGGTGGTTTTGTGCAGTACCGCGCTTCATCTGCAATCTATCATTACCATCTCAACAACATGACTGCCAGGGTTCGAGCTGTGATAGCCTCAGTTGAATACCGGCTGGCACCTGAAAACCCTCTCCCGGCATCTTATGAAGATGCCTTGCATGCTATTCTTTGGTTGAAGTCCCAGGCACAATGTTGTCATCACCGCGATCCATGGTTAGATCAGTATGCTGATTTTTCAAAGGTTTTCTTATTAGGTGAAAGCGCAGGTGGCAACATAGCTTACCACGCAGTCCTTCGTGCAACAACGCATAATCTTCAACCAATGACAATCCAAGGCGTGATATTGGATCAGGCATTTTTTGGTGGAGTCAAAAGGACTTCATCAGAGCTCAGACTTATAGAAGATACTTACCTACCTTTGTACGTAAATGATGCCTATTGGACATTGTCATTGCCATTCCAAGCAAATCGAGATCACAAATTCTCCAATCCGTTTATTCATGGGTTCGATAGAGTCAAACGTGTGCCAAGATGGTTTGTTAAAGATGATGAAGGAGACCCATTGATTGATCGGTCAAAGGAGTTTGTACGCTTGTTAGAGTTATATGAAGTGCCAGTGTTTTATCGATTTTATCCAGGAGGTTATCATGGTGTAGAGTTGCTAGATTTCGAAGCTGCTCTTGTCTTTTTTCATGATGTGAAAACTTTCATCTATTACACTGGAGTTGCTGAAGATTAATACTGTCACGATTGGATTTCTAGTCTCAAGTTTGGATTTGGCTTTCAATGTAGGAATGAATAATGTAGGCTATGCTTCATCTCGAAATAATAATGTGTCACTAGATGCTTTCTAATAAAATAATTTGGGATTTGCTTAGTTAATCTTGTGCAGTTTTTGATGATTTAGCAATTATTATAGGGATATTGTTCCTTATGTGTATTTGGACTAATTTCCTGATTTACCACTTGTCCCTCCCTCAAGAAAATACCAGGATTAATAAAGAAATAGAAATTGATATTAATAAAAGAACAAAATATTTTACGTGAAAACTTTCAAAAGAAAAAAATAAAATAAAATTATTAACGGTAAAAGAAAATTTTAATATATGAAAAATTGTTACAATCTCATATTAAACTTATGAGAGACCAAACGTCCAAGTATAGCGCAAAATATTTATTTTGGGTTAAACTACAAAGATCTTTGATATCTCACCCTGAAATATGCCTCGACTCTCCTAGTGATAAATAAAATAAAGCAAAGCTAGACTTACAGAAAAAATGGTGCACAACCTTTACAAAATACACACATACCAGGGCGGGTGGGTTATTTTTTTACAATATTTTAATACACGTGGGGTCCATCGAATTTGAGGGTATGTAATCTTTCCTTGGAAAATAATTATGTACATTCAGATTTTTCGAATAAAATAATAATAAGCTATATTTGCCACTGTGCTTGTGTATCTACCAACAGTTCTTCTACCTACTTTGTCTAAAACTTGAGCATTCGTGGACAACTCATGAATTCCTGTCACTTTCTTCGGAACTACTTGTTCTAATGAAAATATAGAGTGGTTATTTGCTAAAAACTCAATTGACTTTGAAGTACCCGAATCAATCTCCAAATGCGCTCAAAATCATTACTTTTTGTACAAGTTGCATTCTCGTCCAATCTTTACCTACTACATACAGAATTTCACTTTGTTAGATAGAAATCCCCTCAATTAGTTATTATGAGTAATTAAGATTAAAATCTCCATAAAGGGTCTCCAATGTCTTGTTATCTTAACAAAACATCTATGCGTCTATTTAAATGTCACTATAATTTAGCTTGTAAGATCAACTCTTCCCTTCATAAGTGAGAAATGAAATAGGTGTTAGTCTATCCGTAATAGTTATATTTATATATCGTTATTACTTCAAATTACACTTAATTTAAAGTTTATTAATATGGAATTTGTATATCAAAATTAAAACTCCTTATGAATAACATATGACCAAGACTCGAATCTACAGACTCTATAAATTTAATGTATAATAATAATAATTTAATTAAATAATAGATGTGTCATAAATAAAATGCATCAAAACTATTTACATTCAACATCAATTGGACCTACAACATAATACTTACACTGTTGAATAATTTGTAAATTCCAAAAGTTTTCTCTTGAATTGGTCAACCAGACAGATCTCAAACATAGTCCTTGCTGTCACCTTAGTGGCCTTGAATCTATATCCTAATATAACGATTATCATAGAGTTCAGAAGCGCAAAAGTTGGAAGCAACCTCACTTCCATTACTTACTTAGTTAGACCTGTCAAGTATGTTCTTGTAAGTAGAGCATTTCAACAATAGTTGTTACAAGTCTATCAAGAGTATTAAACTCAGCATCTGCTGCTAAAAGATTATAGGTAGTAAACACTACATAACAAGTGCTTACGAACAAAAAAGAAAAAAAAATGAAGTACTTTACTCATTAAACTCAACTTAGTGCTTCAAGTATTTAGTGGATCTTCATTCATTTATGATCATTATTTACTGGCTTTGAGCTCATCCCTCCTGATGTTTTATAGACCACCTCCCTTACAAGGCCTTTAGTTGACGGATCAGCCAAATTTTGAACTGATCACACAAATTCTATTGTGATAATCCCACTAAACAATCAATTGCCTCACTTAGCTATATGCCTCAATCCAATATGTCAAGATTTTCCGTTATAGACTTTAGTTAAAGTAGATTGACCATCAAAATGTTACAAAATGGGAGGCATAGGCTTGGCCAAAATAACATTTTTAATTTTAAATTCTTCAACCATTCAATTTCTTTACTAGCAGAAGCTAATGCTTCAAACTCTATTGTCATAGAAGAATTAGCTATACAAGTTTGTCTCTGGAGAATTCGTGAAATTGCACCTCCACTTAAAATGACGATCCAACCACTTGTATGATCAGGGGCAGATCTAGGCACGTGTTGGCCTAGACTACAGACCGTGCTCATCCTAGCCCAGACTCTCTCTCTCTCTCTCTCTCTCTCTCTCTCTCTCTCTCTCTCTCTCTCTCTCTCTCTCTCTTTTAAAGAGAGAGCCATGTCCATTTAAAGTAGCCCATGACCAAAATAAAAAAGTAGCCAAATCCCAAAAGAAAAGTAAAAATGAATGTTTTGGTCCAAATCTCCAATTCAGTCCCAAAACCTACTCCTAATCTAATCCATCTACTGACTGATAAGTGTGTTTTTGCACACTTATTTACATCACAAACATGACTTAATAATGAGCAAAATGATTGAATCATGACTTAATCACGTTATATTTGTGAATTGTAGGGAACACCGATGAACGTGGTGAAATTCAAAAGAAAAGAGGCGAAAAAGGACCAAATTGGAGCAAAATGAAAATTCTGGGACCAAATTGCAATTATTTGAAAGTTGACCCGATGAACACATCAAGCAATTGATCAAGCCAAGCACCAATTGAAAGTTATAAGGGAACATTGGAGCAACTAGGAACAAGAGAGGAGGTCAAGGAGTGAAGGAATGAAACTTGAGGACCAAAATGACTCAAACAAGAAAGTAGCTCTACTATGCGGTCGCATAGTATAAAACCTATGCGACCGTGAGTGAACCTCCAGGGATTAAAAATGGCGCTTTTCTTAAACCTATGCGGTTGCATAGGTATAATATTTCCCGAATTTTGCAGTTTCCTTATATGATTGCAACTCCTTTGGTAACCTAATTTGGACGGGTTTAAATAGCAACAAGACGTCCAGAAGCCGCACGAATGACTTGGGAGGCAAAAACATTCATCTGGGAGTGGAATTGAAGGCAATAACAAGAATTGATGCGAGATTTACGAGATTTCTTCAATCTTTGATAACCCGATGATGTAATTTATTCATATTTTGTTAGATTTCGTTATTTTTATCATGATAGGCTAGATTTTTGCAACTAGGTGATCGATGAACCATGTAATTTTTATTAAACTTGCTATTTCATGATTTTGAATTATTAGTTTGATGGATATTTGAATGGATTATATTGGTTTATTTATTTCCACAATTAATGTGCACTTGATTTATGTGAACTTGGTGGTTTAATTCTGAATTTGAGAAAATTAGATTAGACTCGGCATATATAATTCATCATAGGGTCCGATAGAGGATAGAAATATACCCCTATGTCCTATGTAAATCTTTAATTGCTCACAAAAAGATTATATGCGTTCTTGTAAAATTGCATCCGTCATAGAGATATAGGCTGATGATTTATGAGAATAGGTTCAATACATCTCGAGAGAGAGTATTGAATAGATTTAGGAGCATTGATTTATCAAATTCTTATTGAATTATCAAAATTGTGAAATTAGGGTTTAATCAGTAATTATTTGGGGATTCGTGATCCTAGTGCATTCGTTTTACATAGATTTTCATAAATTGACAATACATTTCATTTTTTTTTCATAACATTTCGTAATTGAGTCATTAGTTAAGTGAATTTAAGTAATTAGGGTTTGATTTGAAATTATGGTTTTTCAATTTGGGGATTTCCCCCAACTTAGGGTTTGATTTGAAATTAGGGTTTTTTAATTTGGGGATTTCTCCCAAAAATTAGGGTTTTTGATTCCAAAATTCATTTTAACTCAATTAGTTTCGGTTAAGGCTAAAATAAGTAAAATTGAACTACTCTTTTTCTGTGGGACGATACTCGGACTTCTAAAGTCCATTTTATTACTTATCACGATCCGTACACTTGCGGTAATTTAAATCGAAAGAAATATTTCGCGAACACTGACCATTATCTGTTCTAATCGCTGGCTGTAAATCCAATTTTCATCGATCTCCAAGTCCAACCCATAAATGAAAATCCCATTTTTAATCATTTCTCTTTTTTGTTCGTCTCTTCTCCATTGTTCCAAGGTGAAGGTATGTTAGAATTTTTAAGTTTTATTTTATTTTTAGTATCTCAAAAAATCTTGTTCAGATTTTCAATTTGGTCCCTGGCCATCCGTTCATTCAATAATGTCTTTTTTTTCTTCAAAAATTTCTGGGTGTGGTGCTGAGGATGTTTTATATAAAGAGCTATGGAAGGCTTTGTGTAGGTCCATTGGTGGATGTTTCAAAAAATGGAGAAAGTTTATTATTTTCCTCAAGGTCACATGGAACAAGTAATCTTTTCATTTTCAATTTTATTTTATTTTATTTTACTTATTTTATTTTTTTTGCTCTTACGGAGTGGAGTTTTATAAAGACTCGGGTTTTATATTAGAGCACTAACCGGGTAATTAATGTTACATCTTTAATTGATGTGGTATATTACCCATAATAAAATTCTGGCTTTTGGGTTTGGTTAGTTGGAGGCATCTACAAATCAGGAACTGAGTCTGAATCAGAGAATAACAATGTTCAAGTTGCCTTCAAAGATCCTATGTCGTGTTTCTATTATTTAAGATTTAAGATTTGTTAGTTTAATTTGTCTTTCACAAGGGCCACTGCTCACTTGGTCAGGAAGTTTAAAACTATAAAAATTAAAAAGTGTAGTGGGAAAAGATTTAAGAAGGTTGGATTGGGTCAAATCTCATAAAGCTATTGCCTATACATTATACAATGGGTGCAATTTCTCATTTATAGCTTATACATTTGGGAAAGCAATACATTATACATATTTGCTTTGAATAGTTTCCTAAATTTGTGTTTCATCTTTTGTAGAAAGCTTGGATGTGTTGTCCCCAGTAGATTTGGAAG